TGACATTGCGAGACCACGTGTAATATGTTTTCTGGCACTCGATCCTGAACTTCGTTGCGAAACCGAAGGTTGTCGACGGATTTCAGCACGCGCGCAACGACGCGCGCGCGCGAACTTCGTTTCATTGGTTGCAAAAGATCGGTTGCAAAAGATCATTCCGAGAACACGCGCGTAAGAGCGTCTGCGCAATTTCAAAGCGCGCGGGCGACTCCAATTTGAACGCGGACAAATTAAATTGGGTCTTAAGAGCAAGAGCGCGCGCGTGATTGTGTGGGACATGCGCGTCACGAAACCATGCGCTTTTAAATGTTAAAATGTTGCTTCGACGCTCGATTTTAAAGAATCCTTGCGACGCCGAAGGTTGTGGAAGGATTTTGGCATGCGCGCGCGGCGACGCGCCCGCGTGCACTTCGCCCGATGATCGGCAAGAAGTCTTAAACAAACTGCTGATGTTTGATAGAAGAGCGCGCGCGCATAAGATTGCGTTGCAGAGGATGGCGGGGGGGTCGGAACCAGCCCCACAGGGGCGGCGCGAACTCGCATCTCGGACGGGCGACGGGGCAGAATCGCGCGCAAATCGCAGCGCGGGAAGGGGCGCGGATAATCCGGGAGGGGGGGGGGGGGGGGGGCCCCCCCAGAATCTATTCCTGTTAAAAAGGAAACCTGTTTTTCACACACAAACTGACCAATTCCACGATCTTGAAAACATCCCACCCACCCTCCCGCAACTTGGTTTGCAGAACACGCGCGGGCGGCGATTGCGCTGAGTCCGTCGCGCGAGAGTGGCCCGCGCGGCACTCTTTGACACGGGTCGCGCCCCCCCCCCCCCCCCCCCCACCCACCCACCCCGCCCCCGCCGCCGCCGCCGCCGCCAGCGCGCGCGCGCCAAGGGCGCGCGAACGATTTCGGCATGCAGCGCCAGAAGCCCGTCTGGCAGAGTCTCGTGAAATGAGCAGTCAATTGTTTGCCTCTGGATTCGCACGAGCGCGGGCGCGCGCTTGTTTGGAAACTGACAATGCGAAACCATGTGTTTGCATATGTTATTTGGACACTCGGCTTTGAAAGTTAAAGTGTTTGAAGGACCTCGGCTCGCGCGCTTGACGACGCGCACGCGCGCGCAATTCGTCATTTTACATGGCAGAGGGATTCTCGCGACGGCACGCACGCAAGGGCGTTCGAACGACTTCGGCGCGCGGGGGCGTATTTCCAGAAAATGGCGAACAGAAAACTCACTTTCCCCAAGAATTCGCAAGACCGCGCGCGAGCTCTTTTTTGTTTGAATATCCGCGTTGCGAAACCACGTGTTGTAATTCGTGGTTTGGACACTCGGTGCCGAAATCCTTACGATACCTATGGTGTTCGAGGGATTCGGGCACGCGCGCGAGACCGCGCGCGCGCGTGCACTTCGTCTCATCTGTTGCAAAGGATTATTGGACATTGATGCTTTGTGACAAACGAATGCAGGCGCAACGGGTAATTCCGGCCCCGGGAAGATGGCGGAGTTCATTCTGTTCCTAGACAGGAGAACTCACCCTGCCGAACTTGCAAATGTCGACCCAACTGCCCGCGCAAACGCCGCACCCACCCACCCGAAACCTTGTTCGCAAAACCACGCGAAGACGATTGCAATGAGCGTTGGCTGGTGCGCCCGTCCCTGCGGCCGCGCAACCCCGCGCGCGCTCGCGACCGCAGCGGCCAGCTCGTTTGGCGCGACCGACGCGAAAGCGGTAGCATGGCAAAGTCGACAACGGTAGACGCGATGATGATAGTAGCGACGCTGGTGACGACATTGGCAATGGCGACGGCGCGGCCAGCGACGGCACCGATGCTGATCACGCCGACGACGACGACGGCGTCCTCGCGTCGGCGACGTGGCCGACGCGCCAGTGTGGCCCGCGCTGCACTCTTTGACGCGGATCGCGCCCCCGCGCCCCGGCGCGCGCAGGGGTTTCGACGTGCGGCGCGAGGGGCCTGTTGGAAAGACGTCAAGAAAATGTTGAGCAATCTTTGGTTTCCAGATGAATTCGCAATAGCGCGAGCGCGCGCTTCCTTGAAAGCCCACGCTGCGAAACCAGCTGTTTTGATATCTCCACGCTCAGTTTTGCAATCGCTGCGAAACTCAAGGCGTTGGGTGGATGTCGGCCCGCGCGGGCGACGGCGCGCGTAAGCGCGCACTTCGCCACATGTTTTGCAGGGGGTTCTTGCGACGGCACGCGCGCAAAGGCGTTCGAGCGATTTCGTCGTGCGCGCGCGAAGCCCCGTTCGGTCTCATTGTGTAAATGCGTTGAAAACACATGGTCTGACTTTCTTCTGAAAACCCGCGTTGCGAGCACATGTGTTTGCATATTGTTTGGACACTCGGATTCGAAACTCTGACGAAACCGAATGGCGGTTGAAGGATTTCGGCACGCGCGCGCGACGGCGCGCGCGGGCACTTCGTCATATCGTTGCAAATGATTCCTGGAAGTTGATGATTTGTGATGACTGCGGGCACGCACTATTCGTGGCAGAGGATGGCGGGGGGGGGGGGGATACTGGCCGGCTGGAATGACACGAATTGATATGGAAGATGTGCGATGGGGCAGAACCCTACGTAAATTGCAGCACGAGAAGGGGACCCGCAATCCCTGGGGCGCCGTGACAGGTTTTTTTTGTAAGATAGAAAAAAAAACAAATTTCTGTCCGCAGTGAGTTGTCAACCCCGCGGCTCGCAGCGGTTGCTCCAAACGTTCGCAAAAACGCGCGAACTTTCTTTGAAAACCCGCGTCGCGAAACCATGTGATTTACATGTGCTTTGGACAATCGGTCGTGCAATCCTTACGACGCCAAAAGTTGTTTGAAGGATTGCGGCATGCGCGCGCGACGACGCGCGCGCGTGTACTTCGTTGCTTTCGTTCGTGAAGGACTTTCGCGACAGCACGCGCGAAGGGGCGTTCGAACGATTTCGACAAGCGCGCGCGAAGCCCGTTTGATTGCATGTTCCGAACATGTTGAAAACAACAACCATTTGCTTTCTTTAAACATACTCAAGAACGCGTGCGTACGCTTCCTTTGAAAACCCGCGTTGCGAAACCATGTCTTTCAACTTGTGGTTTGGACACTCGGCGCTACAATCATTACGGCATCGGGAGCTTTGACGGATGTCGGCACGCGCGCGCGACCACGCGCACGCGTGCACTACGTCTTTTTGGTTGAAAGGGCCTCTCGCGAGAGCACGCGCGAAATGGCGTTCAAACGTGTTCGACATACGCGCCCGAGGCCAGTTTGGTGGCGCATTCGGAACATGTCGAAGAATTCGCATGAACTCGCGCGCAAGCTTTCTTTGAAAACCCGCGTTGCGACACCATGTCTTTTAATTTGATGTTTGGGCACTCGGCTTCAAAACCCTTGCGGCGCAGTAGGTGTTTGAAGAATTGCGGCATGCGCGCGCGACGACGCGCGAGCGTGAACTTCGTCTCTTGTGCAAAAGAATTCTCGCGACAGCACGCGCGAAGGGGCGTTCGAACGATTTCGACATGCGCGCGCGAAGCCCGTTTGATGGCATTTTTGAACATGTTGGAAACCCTCGGTTTCTTTTTTTCAAGAATTCGCAAGAACGCGCGCGCAAGCTTTCTTTGGTAATCCGTGTTGCGAACCATGTCCTTCGATTTCTGTTATGGACACTCGGTGCTAAAATCCTTGCGGCATCGGAAATTTTGACGGATGTCGGCATGCGCGCGCGACCACGCGCGCGCGTGCACTACGTCTTTTTGGTTGCAAGGGATTCTCGCGACAGCACGCGCGAAAGGGCGTTCAAACGTGTTCGACATACGCGCGCGAAGCCAGTTTGGTGCCATTCCCTAAACATTTTGAGGAATTCGCAGGAACGCGCGCACAAGCTTTGCTTGAAAATCCGTGTTGCGAAACCAAATGTTTCCGTATGTTTGTTCGGCAATCGGTTTTGAAATCCCAAGGATTCCGGCATGCGCGCGCGACGACGCGCGCGCGGGCACTTCGTCATCTTTTTTTGCAAGGGGGTCTGGGAAGCTGATGACTGTTGATCAACGACTGCGCGCGCATAGTATCTCTTGCAGAGGATGACCGGGGGGGTCGATACCAGCCTGGTTGGGATGGTACGAGTTCAGATTTATGATCGACGATGGGGCAAAACCATATGCAAATTGCAATACGAAGAGGGGTGCCGCTAATCCGGGGGGGGGGGGCGAATAGATTTGTTTGCTCTTCAAAAAAGGAAAATCTAAGCAGCGACGGGCGTCGGCGGGGCGGCGACGGCGGCAACATAGCCGCCAGAGCGGCACACGGGCCCGAACGACGGCCAAAACAACGAGGCGGCGACGAGGCTGCGACGGCTGCAACACAGCCGCCAAAACGGCACACTGGCCACGACGACGGGCGTCGACGAGGCGGCGACGGAGCGACGACGGCGGCAACTTAGCCGCCAGAGCGGCACACCACCCCAATTCCGTAGAACAGAAGCGAGAGCCCCTGAGTGTAAGCACTGCTTGAGGAGTTCGAACTTTCTTTAGTGGGCCTGGAAGCCAGTCCGGACGCTTCGCCAGTGCTTGACTTTTGGTCGGCGGCGAGCGGGGGGGGCAAGTGAGAAGGAGAAGGCCTTCTCAGAAGGCGGCGGGACTCCTCAGAAGCCATCGCGCCTTGTGAGAAGTGTCCCGTGCCTTCGGGGAAACCTTAGACAACTGCTCGAAAGGCCGGGGGAAAGCTGAGCCTTCCGAGAAGGCCTCCTCCTTCCCACTCCCCCGGCCCGGCTCGCCGCCGACTCCCCTGATGGGCCTGTTCTCCACCACCACCACCGCCATAAGTTGGAGTGGGAGGGGGTCCTCCTCCTTCTCCTCCTCCTCCTCCTCCTCCTCCTCCTCCTCCTTCCTCCTCCTCCCCTCCTCTCCTCCTCCTCCTCCTCCTCCTCCCTCCTCCCTCCTCCTCCTCCTCTCTCTCCCCCCCCCAACTTGCTGGTGGAAAACAAGCCCATCCCCCCCCCCGAGCTCCACTTCGGCGGGGCCCGCTGGCGGGCGGGCACTCCAGCTCGAGCTGCGCGAGTCCGCGGGGCTCAGCTTCAGCGGGCTCGCGACCCGCACGGAGCGGCCCCTCCCGCCGTGGAGGGCTTCGGGCACGTCCTGGGCCGCGGAGGGCACCCGCGCGCACCACCGCCGTGCCCTGGGCCCCCCCCCCAGCACGCTCCTCCTCCTCCTCCTCCGCCTCCTCCTCCTCCTCCTCCTCCTCCGCCTCCTCCTCCTCCTCCTCCCGCGTGCGGCCCCTCGGCTGAGGCCGGGAGGGCCGTCCAGAAGCAGCCAGGGTGCAGGGCGGCACTGTCCAGGCACAGCGGTGCACAGCCAACCCGTCTGAGAAGGGCGCATGGTGAGGATGCAGGGGCCTCAAAAGGCCCTGGCCGACCCGCTGCGAGCGGGGCGCGGCCAGCGACAGTGGCCGAGGCTGGGCCGATGGGGAAGGATGCAGGGGTAACCTTGGAAAGTCGCTCATCCTTGCTGTGCGGGTTGACTGATGGATCTCCTGCAGGGGCCAGGCTCAATTCGAGATCGGCTCCGGACCCCTCTCGGGGTCCATCCTGGACAGCTATCCACCCCCGATCGATCCCTGACAGCCCGGGGGCCCGAGCCGCGAGCCTTCAGAGGCCGAACGCAAAGAAGAACTCAACTCGAGCCTCAACGCCCTTCAAAGCCCTCCTGCGGTGGTGCATCTGCAATGCCCAGCGCCACCCCGATGGGTACTCAGCAGACGGGGACACTGCTCCCGATGCATGATTGTGGCGCTCTCCTGCCGCTTCCCTGCGCCACCCCGAGGCAAGAGGAGCGCTCTCCTGCCACCGCCTTGCGCCCAGCTGAGATCCGGGCGTCGCGAGATGTTGTCGCAACCAACGCTCTCTCTTCCAGTTTCGGACCCATGGGACTCCTCGCGGACGGGCCCGGCTCGAGAAATGCCGTTGGAAGACTGGGTCTAGGGCTGCGGTCGCGACTTGTGTTTGTGCTTAACGCTACGTCGCATCTGTTGGACTGTGCCGGGGGGGGGGGCGCGCTGCGCGGTCGGCAGGCCGGCGCTGTGGGATTGGGGGGGCCAGCTTGCCCCGCTGCGTCGGCGAGCGAGGGCGGGAGGCGAGGAGAAGGAGGAGGAGGAGGAGGAGGAAGAGGAGGAGGAGGAGGGGGAGGAGGAGGAGGAGGAGGAGGAGGAGGAGGAGGAGGAGGGAGGAGGAGGAGGAGGAGGAGGATACCCGTCTCGGCGGCGCCGAGACTCAGTTCAAATCGGCCGCCCCAGACTCCTCCCCGGGCCCACCCAGCTCTCCGCCCTGGCTCGATCCCCGACGGCCCCAGGGACTCGGGCCTGGCCAGCAGAGGCGCCGAGGAGGCAGAACAGACGAAACTCGAACATCGAAACCCTCTCGACCTGCCCGAGGTGGCGCATGTCAGAGAGGCGGGGGCCTCCCGAACGGGCCCACGGCATTCCTGGCGTCGCCGCAGAAGCTTGCAGGGGGGCGGGTGTGGAGGGCCTGGGGAGGTGGAGTCAGGGGGAGAGTTCGTGAGGGGATCGGCGGAGGGCATTCGCAAGGGCCCGTCCCACCAGGCACGGCCGCGGGCCCCCTCTTAGGTCACCCAGCTTCGGGCATCGCGCCCAAGGACGCGCGGCTGCCCTCGCGCCCTCGCGTGGCCCACCACTGAGAAGGGCAGCTCTTTGGCACAGGCCGCGACGCGCGAAGCGCGCGTGCCTTCGAGCCCGCTCTCTCTCTATCAGCCATTCTGCGGCGGGGCTCTTTGCACAGAGACACCGGGCGCCATGTTTGTTCCCAATCATCCTGTGGTGTTGGGTCCTCGTTCTGAAGTGGCAGCGCTCCGCGTCTCCTTCCTCCTCTCTCCTCCCCTCCTTGCCTCTGCCCTCCGCGTGTGTCTGTTTCGGCACACCCAATGCAAATCTTCGTGGCCCCATAGGGAGCTCCACCGCAGGTCCCAGTGGCGGAGCTCGCATGCGTGTTCCCCACCCAATGCAACGTTTCGTGGCACCAACGAGAGCTCCACCGAAGGTCCCAGTGGCGGAACCCGTATGCATCCCCCCACCCTATGCAGCGCTTCGTGGCCGTAGGGAGCTCCACCGAAGGTCACAGTGGAGGAGCTTGCATGCGCCCAGCCCACCCACTACAGCGGCGCTCCGTGGCCCGATAGGCGGAAGTCGCATGCGTCCCCCCCCCCACCCAGTGCAGCGCTTCGTGGCCCCATGGAGAGCTCCACCGAAGGTCCCAGTGGCGGAGCTCGCATGCGTCCCACTGCAGCGCTTCGTGGCCCCATGGGGAGCTTCAACGAAAGGCACAGTGGCGGAACTCGCATACGTCCCCCCCACCCAGTACAGCGCTTCGTCGCCCCATGGGGAGCACACCGCAGGTCCTGGTCCCAGTGGCGGAACTTGCGTGCGTCCACCCCGCCCAGTAAAGCTCCGTGGCCCCATAGGGTGCTCAATCGAAGGTCCTGGTGGCGGAATTCGCATGCGCCCCCCCGCACAGTACAGCGCTTCGTCGCCCCATGCGGAGCTCCACCGCAGGTCCCACTAGCGGAACTCGCGTGCGTCCCCTCCACCCAGTACAACGCTTCGGGGCCCCATAGGGAGCTCCAGCGAAGGTCCCCGCGGCGGAACTCGCATGCTTCCCCCCTCACCCACTACAGCGTTTCGTGACCCCATGGGGAGCTCCACCGCAGGTCCCAGTAGCGGCACTCGCATGCGACTCCTCCCACCCAGTACAGCGCTTCGTGGCCCCATAGGGAGCTCCACCGAAGGCCCCAGTGGCGGAACTCGCATGCGTCCCCCCACCACCCACTACAGCGTTTGGTTGCCTCATAGGGAACTCCACCGCAGGTCCCAGTGGCGGAATTCGCATGCGCCCCCCCCCCGCCCAGTACAGCAAGCGCTTCGTGGCCCGATAGGGAGCTACATCGAAGGTCCCAGTGGCGGAGCTCGCATGCGTCTCCTCCGCCCAGTACAACGTTTCGTGGCCCCATCGGGGGCTCCACCGCAGGTCCCAGTGGCGGAGCTCGGATTTGTGCTCCCCACCCAGTACAACGTTTCGTGGCCCCATAGAGAGCTCCACCGAGGTCCCAATGGCGGAGCTCACATGCGATTTCTCATTCCCAGTACAGCGCTTCGTGGCCCCATAGGGAGCTCCACCGAAGGCCCCAGTGGCGGAACTCGCATGCGACCCCCCCCACACCCAGTACAGCGCTTCGTGGCCCGGGATGGTCCCCGTGGCGGAACTCGCATGCGTCTCCCCCATCCAGTACAACGCTTCGTGGCCCCATTGGGAGCTCCACCGCAAGTCCCAGTGGCGCAGTCCGCATGCGCCTCCCCCACCCAGTACAGCGTTTCGTGGCCCCAGAAGGAGCTCCACCGCAGGTCCCAGCGCCAGGGCCCGCATGCCACGCTTCATGACCACATACGGAGCTCGACCTAAGGTACCAGTGACAGCGCCCGCCCCGCCCCATGGCCTCAGAGGAGCTTCTACCTAAAACCCCAGTTGCAGCGCCCGCGTGGCCGCCCCGCCCCATTTCGGTACACCCTTCACACGCTTAGTGCCCCTACAAGGAAACTCCCCGAAGGCGATACTCACAATGACAGGTCTCACAACTGCATATGGTTGGATCACTCGCCAGCATAATTTCTCAAATCGAGACCCCCTAGAAGTCTGGACCCTTCGCTGGGGCCAGCTTATCTGGAGCATGTTTTGTCTGTCTGACGGCCCCAGGGCCCGTGAAGGGCCCCCGGAGGCTGGAACTAGCGAAATCTGGAGGGCGTGTCATGAGAACCCATTTGGCCCGAGGGTGTCTACGTGCAAAGTCTCCATGATGGGGTCAGAGCAGATTCGGTCGGAGTATCGTGCCACACCGCAGAGACAGTGGCGATGCACAGGCAACGTCGGCGGCTCATCGGCGACGCCTGCGCGGAGAAGATCGGGCTCCACGTCGAGCATTTTTTTGTTTTACAGCCGCAGGCGGAAGCGCCGGCGGCGAGCAGTCACGGTCGGGCTGCGGCCGTGACTAAATTCCCGGGCGCGCGCGGGAGCCGCGGATCAGGCGGCGAGGGGGCGGCAACCCAGGGCGTCTGAGAGGCCAGGCGGTCGTGCCACGTCGAGCATCGGCGATGCGGCGCGATCCTCCGACACCACCTGCTCGGACCCCACCTGGGAGGCCTGGGAGTACAGTGCCTCCAGCGCGTCCTTCAGCTGCAGCCGGGGCGCGGGCCTCGCGGGCGGCGGCTGCTCCAGGATCTCCACCGCGGTCGCGCGGTGCGCTTCCCGGGCCGCCGCCCGCAGGGCCGCGGCCGCCGCGTCCTTCGGCAACGGGTCGGGGGAGTCCTCGGCGCGAGTGCAGCTGTTTGCCCCTGGGTTCCGGCAGTTCTGCTTGCCTGAAGGAGGAGAGGGGCGTGGCGAGGCGCGAGAGGAAGTCTGAGCCTCACGCCGGTCGGGCCTCCCTTGCACGCCCTGTTCGGCCCGGCGCCGTCTCGAAAGGCGGCGGCAGGGAGGGACGCTGCGATGAGCAGTAGGAGGACCACTGAACCTCTGGGAGCGGGCCTGACTTAGGAGGCCCAACACCTTGGGGTCAGGGGTTCTTCCGTTCTCGATGATGCTATTCGAGGAAACCTGCCTGAACCTGAAAATTGACAGCCTCTAGGGGAAGGCAGGCGCACACCTCGCCTGGCGGGCCGAGGCGGACTGCCGGCGCCGGCTGGGCCCAGACCTCCGCCGCTTCCGCAAGCCGCTGGGTTCTCACAGGAAGGCTCTCGCGCTTCGGGGTGCCTGCCAGCAGCTGCGCGTCGCCAAGGGCGTTCCGGTGGTGCCCGGGGCGTCCTGAACGGCGGCCAGGGGCCCGAGCGCTGGCCCCAGGACCCATCGTCTGGAAAACAAAAAAAAACACGACGGGACTACTGTTCCCCGAGTGCTGGATGGGTTCCTAGTTCTCTCCCCACCAGCGCCGCACCCGCGCTCCCCCACCTCCCCTCCTCACCCCTCCCGGCCCCTCCTTACCACCCCTCCTCCACGCTCGCACACGCAACAAGGCGCGCACACGACATACCCGCACGTGCTTCGCACACACTCAAGCCGCGCACGCGCGTCGGAGGCAGGCGCAGCACGACACAGCACACGGGGCCCATCTGTTACACACATCTGCATACAATCGTACAGACAGAATTCACACACCAGGGTGGAATTTTCTCGAAATCATGCAGTGGGGGTCTTGACCCAAGGAACCCAAAATAAGGAACGAGGCTCCTTTTTTCCATGAGTCAAACTTCGATTTCCGATCGAAGACATGAGGAAAACCTGAGGCAAGCTGTGAAACACTTAAGGAACGCGGAGCCCCTCCATAACGAAAAGGGTTCCTTCTTCAGGGCCCCGACTGGAAGGGGGTTCACAGAGGGTGGTCTCTCACCGCGGTCTCTATGCCTGCCAGGATCGGAAAGCGTGGCAGGCTGCGGCACTTTCGCAACCCCACACGGGGTGCGCAGGGGGCTTGGCGCGGCACTTTCAGTACACCACGTGGGGTCCGCAAGCTGTGGTCCCTGACCGCGGCCTCTCTCTGTCTCAGGGTTGCGGGGCGTGGCAGGCGTGGAGCTTCCTTCACACCACAGGTGGTGCGAAAATGGTTTACCCCGACCACGGTCTCTACCCGTCTCAGAGTCGCGGTGCATGACAGGCTGTGGCACTTTGTCAACACCCAAGGGGGTGCGCAAGGAGTGGTCCCTGACCGCGGTCTCCATCCGTAGCGAGGTCGCGAAGTGCCGCATCTTCTCCGAACCACAGGTTGTGCGCAGGGGGTGGTCCTTGACGACGGTTTCTATCCTTGTCACGGTCGCGGGGCGTGGCAGGCGTGGCACTTCCTCCACACCACAGGAGGTGCGCAAGGGGTTGTCCATCACCGCTGTCTCTATCCGTCTCAGCGGGGGCGCGGGGCGTGGCAGCGTAGCGATTTCTCCACGCCACAACGGGTGCGCAGGAAGGGGTCCCTGATCACGGTCTCGATCTGTCTCAGCGGGGTCGCGAGGCCTGGCAGGCGTGGCGCTTTGTCCACACCACAAGGGGTGCGCGGGGGGGTGGTCCCTGGCCGCGGTCTGTATCCGCCTCAAGGTCGCGGGGCTTGACAGGCACGGCACTTTCTCCACACCCCACGGGGTGCGCAAGGTGTGCTTCCTTACCGCAGCCTCTATATGTCTCAGCAGGGTCGCGGGCCGTGGCAAGCGTGGCAGTTTCTCCACACCGTCAAAAGGTGCGCAAGGGTTGGTCCCTCACCGCGGTCTCTATCCGTCTCTCTGGGGTCGCGGGGCGTGACAGGCGTGGCGCTTTCTCCACACCAGAGGGGGCGCGATAATGATAGTCCCTCATTGCGGTCTCTATCCGTCTCAGGGTCGCTGGGCGTGGCAGGCGTGGCACTGCCTTCTCCACGCCACAGGGGGTGTGCAAGTGGTGGTCCCTGACCGCGGTTTCCATCCATCTCAGGGTCGCGGGGCGTGGCAAGCGTGGCACATTCTCCACACCACAGGTTGTGCGCAGATGGTGGTCCCTGACCACGGTCTCTATCCGTCTCAAGGTGGCGAGGCGTGGCGCTGTCTCCACACCACAGAGGGCGCGCAGGTGGTGTCAGGGTCGCGAGGCCTGGCAGGCGTGGCACTGTCTCGACACCACAGGGGGTGCGCAAGGGGTCGTCCTTACCACGGTCTCTATCCAGTCGCTTCGCTGGGCACTGCGACAGACAAATGCCGATGCGTTGATGGAGTTATGATGGATTTGCGTTGCCACCGCAGACTGTATGTCGAAGGTGGTCGTCTGCGCGTAGCCCACCCGCATCACAAAGACGCACGCCCACAGCAAATCCGATCACAGCAGGGTGCAATTTCAAATGCCCACGCAGGAGCTAAAATAGGTATGCGGGGGTCCTCGTTGGCGTATTTGGCGTTTTCTGATCCCTGGACACTTGAGGAATAACGCCTTGGGAGGAGACAGCGGTCGCTTGGTGGGACTTGGCCCAGATCTGCAGGGCTCCACGTTGTGAAGAAATCACGGCGTCGGCGTCTGGGAAAAGAATGTTGGGCCTCTGACAGCAGGTTTGCTTACATGTTGCTCCCGCAAGTCAGCCTGCATGGGCGCATGGAGGAGGAGGAGGAGGAGGAGGAGGAGGAGAGCGGGAGGGACGCGAGACCCTGAAGGAGATCCTGGCTTCACGCAAATCGAAGCTCACTTGTGCACGTGTCCGGCCTGGTGCTGTTTGAAAGGTGGCGGAGGGAATCTGTTGAGGACGGAGGGGCCAAGTGCCATGAAAGGCAACATTGCCCCGACAACTGCAAATGCGCTCAGAAAGGCTCTGCGGGAAACGGGTCCTGTATCCTCAGGGCTTGTCCCTGGACCCGGTCTTCATCCCGAACCTCTCTCTGACGATCCGCAGGCTCCGGGGAGGGACCCCGCAGGCCACGACCAGCGAACGGCCTCGGGACCCGCAGTCCTCTCCGGATACCCGCTCCATGGCGACCCCGAAAGTCTACTTCCGTGACTTGCGCCTGATGCGCCTGTCCCTCGGTGCGCTCCGACCAGAAAGTGCACGTGGATGGGGAGCCTGGCCGTGTCGACAGAGTGCCCCCCCGGGAGGCCCCAGAGAGGCTCCGAGATCGCCCGACCTTAGTGGGCCCCGGAAACGGCAGGGCCGTCTTTTCACCGTTTCCGAAAAAGTGCCCCTTGACAAAGTGCCCCTTAAAAAAAAACGACCCCGTCGTTTCCAGGGCCCACTAAGCGCCCGACCACCTCGAACTTCTTCCCGTGGCTGTCATGGGGAGTCCTGGTTCAGCACAGAGGGGCAGCCCGGGGGCACCGCCCCAGGCAGCGTCGGCGGCTGGGGCTTCAGGATCGACGCGGCGGTGCCCCGCCGAACCCAGAGCGCTGCATCCAGCTGGTCGGAGAGGTCGCCGTCGAGGATGTCCTGCGCGCGGCGGAGGCCCGCGAAGGCCTCCGCGAGGGCGGCGGAGAGCGCCTGCTGGAACTCCGCGAGCGGCGCCACGGACGTGGCCCTGGCGGCAGAGCGCTGGCCGACCAGCCAGAGCCCCAAGGTTTCGAGAAGAGGGCGGAGGTGCTTCGCCGCGGTCGGCCTCCAGGGGACCGGCGTACAAAACGACTCGGGACGAAGAGTGAAGGGCCAGCCCTGGGGAAAGGATCGGGCCTTCAGGGGCTCCGCATCGGAAATGACAAAAGACGGTCAACTCTGGGCAATCACACAGCGGCCCTCCCTGGCAGTGCCCCTCCTCATGGGCCTCCCGGAAGCTTCCCGTCGCCACGTCTGGATCCTCGAGACAGTGGCCAGGGTGGAGCCCAGGAGGGGTCTGACGTTCTTGTGCGGATCTGTGCAGGGAGGAGGGAGCAACCGTTGTTCCCACCGGCCCTGCCCCGGCAAAAAGAAAGGCCCTTTCCAGATCCATCCTGGGCCCAGGAGCAGCTGACGATGCAGTCCTGGCTGGGTGCACGCACGCAGCCCTGGGGCCAGGATGGCGCCTGGCCAGGATCAGCGCGAACGTATACAGCTCGCGCCCCCCCGGGCCTAGAGGTCTCGCTGTGCCTCGGGGCCGGGTCGGGGAAGGTGGCGGACACCCTGGAGATCTCCGCCATCGCGCTGTCGAGGTTCAGACGGCGGTCGTCGCCCGGAAAGCCATCCGGCGACTCAGACATCCCTCGCTGTCTGGCAGCGCGGGCGCCGGCCTGTGCTGCAAGGAGGAGATTCGGCGCCAAGGACTTAGTTGATGTTTAGAAGGCTGGGGGACGCACTCTGTGCGCTCTCACAATCGACGTTACCCCCCCCCGAGCTGTGGTCTTTTGTTTCTTCCATTTGGGAATTCTCGTTCGCGCAGTGCTCGTCTCGGTTCTGTGTCATACTGCCGTTGTGGTTGTCTGTTTTGGGTTGCAGTTTGTTTGTCTATGCTGGTTGACCGTACACCAAAAAGTTGAATTCGAAAAAACAACGCCCCCAGCGTTCTGAACATGAACTCAGGCCAAGGATAGATGCACCGAGTTGGAGGCGAGCCCCAGAGGAATACTCTTGCGAGGTGTTGAAGGTGTATCCTGTTCCGCGCCCCGAAGGTGGGAAGCATCCGTCCCCGCCCAGCCCTCCGAAGTGTGCTGCCTTGGTCAGAGGGCGCTGCCCACACGCAGGGGCTGGCCCTGCGCCGGCAAGAGTGGCCTGGCCATCGGCAAGCGGCTCACCGACGACTGCATGCGGTGCGACCGCGGCGGCCCGCGTGCTTGGGCTCGGCCTCTCCCTGCCCCCGCGCACCAAAGGTCACCCTGGGACTAGGGACCGCTACCACTGCTCCCCGGACCTCTCCCGGGGTGCGTTCTGACCAGGATTTCCGAAGCGAGTCCAGCGGTGGCGACCAGGGCCGCGCAGGAGGCCGAAGACAACGTAAAGGGTAGCGGTATGGGTACCTCTTCCTCCTCTGATCAGGGGCCACTCTTCGAAGAGACGCCACTTGCACGCGAAGCCGAGCGCGGGCCGCACACCTCTTGGCCCCCCTTCGCTGGGGGCACCGCTGTTCGCTCCAGGAGCTTCTGCCGTGTCCCCCCGCAGCCCCCGGACGGCCCCCGGAGGCCAAGCGGCTGAGAACAGCAGCAGCAGCAGCCGAAGAGCTCTACACCCCTGCGTAGAGTCAAGGAACTCTCTGGCTGAGACAGCGGACTTCACGCCAAGCATTCTCTTAGACAGTAGTCCAGGTCCAGATCCGCGAACACGCTACGAGCAAAAACAAAGCTGCAAGAACACGCCCAGGGTCCAGCCCAGATTCCTGAGTCTCTTGAGCGACACATGGAGTCCATGAACGGTGATGCATTGCCTTCAGATTTCGGATGGGCGTATGCCGCAAAGGCCCCTTGCCAACAAATTGGCTAAACACCTGCACCACGACATAGAGACACCGACGTTGGAGGGGCATAGGGAGCTCGACCTCTGGGGGGCAGCTGCGGCAGCGCGAGGCCCAGCAGGGTAGGTCGGGCATGTCCCCCTACAGGCGGATGTTTTGCCTATCTTTGCAAATGCCTCCTGTAGAGGGACAGGCCCGACTTCAGGGTAGGGAGGGGGGCAAGCACAGTCGAAACACGGCCACACGAACGCGGGCCAAGAACCACGAGCCCCCTCGCCGAAGGCAAAAAGGCACCATGGAGACACACACACACACACACGCAAAGCGAAGAGCACTGCCAGGTGGACAGCCCAAGCACGAAGAATACAAAGGTACCCCTCGAAAAGCTGGGGCTGGTCCTGACCAGCGTGATATCTGCATGTTCCCCGGCACCTCGCGGGCCCGCACGGGAGCAGGACTCCCCCTGGCGATGCAGAGAACGTGGACGGCCGACAGGGAGGAGGAGGAGGAGGAGGAGGAGGAGGAGAAGGAGGGGGAGGAGGAGGAGGAGAGGGGATGATGCGGGAGTGAAGAGCTGGCGGAGGGGGAGGAGGCGAGAAGGAGGAAGGAGTCCGGGTTTTATCATTCGCGGTAACGATAAGTATTTAGACCACCCAAATCGGGGGTAACAAATTACTTGTTCAGCGGCCTTATTGAAGGACTGTGGTCCCACAAATAATTAAGGGGTTACTAATTGTTTGTTTCCGCGGCACCCGCCGCGCAACAATGACAACGACAGCTACGACTGCGATTGCGACTACGACTACGACTACTACGACGACTGCGGATCAGGACCAGTCCTATTCACCGCCGAATGAAAAAGGGGGGATCAAAACCAAAGACCTCCCGAGGTGACATGGCCCCCCTCCCCACCATCCCTGGTAATGTCACGGTTCGCGCCGGCGCCGTGTGGGAACAAGCCTTCCCTGAGCATTCCCGAAACGGCGCCGGCGCCCGGCGCTAATCGTGACCTGACCGGCCCCCTCCCCCCCTCCCCCCTGGTCATGCCGGTTATCGCTAGGAGATGCAGCAATGTCTTAACGGAGGCCTCCTCGACTGGGTCTGAGTAGATGGGGTGGGAGGATCGCGCTGCATGCCGCATCGCCGCTGCATCTGCGACGCGTCCCCGATGCATTGGCGATACACCGGCGGCGTCGGCAAGGCGTCGGCGGCGTCGGCGTGAAGAAAATCGAGCTCCGCATCGCGCCAAATCGGCGATGCGTCGGAGATGCGGTGCGATCCTCCGAGCCCACCTGCTCCGACCCCATCTGGGAGGCCTACACTCACGGAGGAGCGCGCCAGGGGCGGCGCCGGAGGCGCTGCCAGGGAGGCCCAGCGCCGATCCGAGAGATCCGCACGGAGCTCCAAAAGTGTATGTTTTTATGCTGGTGTTCCTTACCCTCCGCCGCCCCCCCTGCCCCCGGGTCATGCCCGTGACCGTCAGCGGATACAGCAATGGAGGGATGAAAAAACGGCCCTACCCTGGGTTACAAGCGCGTGATCTGTAAACCTCCTGGGAAGCCCCAGAGCCTAGAGAGCCACCTGGACGCCGCACACCACGCAGGGTTGACCCTGTCAGCCCACAGGAGCTTCAGCGCACAGCGCCCCGTACGCCAGGGCAGGGGCGCTGTTTTTAATGCCCTTGAAAAAAACGGTGAGCAGGAGGCGTGGGCGGAGGACGCCGGGCCTGTGACAGCCCGAGGGTGCGGGCGGCGCGGGGCGGTCGAGCTGCGCGGGGCGCCGCCAGCCCTCGCGGGGGCCCCCTTCCCTGCCTGGGCCGCAGGGCGGAAGCGGGCTGCGGGCCTCTGCCTCTGCTGGGAGGGTCCTCCTCCTCCTCCCCCTGCTCCTCGTCCTCCTCCTCCTCCTCCTCATCCTCCTCCTAATCCTCCTCCTCCTCCTCCTCCTCCTCCTCCTCCTCCTCCTCCTCCTCTTCCTCCTCATCCTTCTCATCCTCCGCCTAAGCGCAATCCGTAGCGCAAAGTGAGCAGCAGAGGGGGGAAAGGGCTAGAGCAGCAGGGCGGCGGGTAGATGCGGCGCTGCACGACCTACCCCTCCTCCCCTTCCTCCTCCTGCAAATCCTCCTCCTCCACCTCCTCCTCTCTCTCTCACACACACACACATGCAGGGCCATCAAAAGAGAACCCTTCGATGAACGGAGCCTTCTCCCACTCTTTTGTGGGGGGTAAAAAACAGAGTTCCATGGGGACCCACGAGAACAGCCAACCACCGCGAGTGGAAGGTGAGTGCAAAGAGCTCATGCTCGAACTCCTCGTCGTCATCTGACCTCATCGCCCGCTTGCGTTTCCTCCTCTCTGCCTCCTCTACCCCATCCCTCTTCTCTCAGTATGACGATTTGTAACGTACTATGACAGGCATGCACCTTCGCGGTAGCGCATTTTTCGCTCGCCGATGCGTCGGCGGCGGGATCGCACGGGAGCGCGCAAAATGCCACTCCCGCCAAAGAACCGCGCAGACTTCGCGTGAAAGTGGCACTCTCACCCGGGAGCGGTGCTTGTTGTTCACTCGCTCATCGTTCACTGGCACTCCCGCTGGGGCGGCCGTCGCCAGTCCTACTGGACTCCTTGTTGCGCGCGAGTGGGCCGGATGGTCCTCGCGGCCGAAGCGCCGCGCATGGAAGTGATGATAGCTGCGCTCCCGCCCGCGCGCAGACGATCACAATCGCCAAGTCGTCGGAAGCGGCGCCGTTCGTGCGAGCGCGTTCCTATCGCCGGTCGGGGGCGCGCGCCAGTGCTGATCGCTGTCAAGCCATACCAGCATGCATGTTCCTACGCGATTGGACGGCGGGAGGGTGGGTGCGGGAAGGGGTCTCGTTGATGACTCGTTCGAGCTGGCTACGGCAGCACGATCGTCACCATGCCTCTCCTCCACATCCTCCTGCTCTTCCTCCTCTTACATCCTGACTGCTCCTGCTGCGCATCCTCCCCATGCTCCTCCCCATCTCCTCATACGTTTTCACCCCTCCGCCTCCTCATCCCGCATCCCCCTCCTTGTCGTCTCCTCCTGCCCCTCATCCCACGTCCTGCCTTCCTACATCCCAAATCCAGAACCCGACCGCCTAATTGCAAGTTCCTTCTCCTCCTCGCAGCGCCCTTTTCCGGGCAGTCGCCTCGCCTGTGCTGTGACGCGGAGCCCTCGCGGCATCCACGCGGACGGGGGACAGGGAGAGGGGGGAAAGGAAGGAAGCACGAAGGAGTCAGGAGAGATGGATGGAGTGTGGAAAGAAGGTAGGCAAGGAAAAATGGAAGTAAAGAGCCGGAAGCAGGCAAGAAGGATGGGGAAGGGAGGAGGGGTGGTCGAAAGGGAGGCGGGAGGAATAGTAGAGTTAGGATTCGGCGAGCAACCCCCTTTGTACTCGACGAGTGGGGCTGTGTGCCGACCGATGGGAGTACATGTGAGGCTTGTGGAGCCCGTCGCTGGACCGCACTCTCGCGGATCCTGCCCTGGTCAGCTATGCAGGCTGGTGCGCACGCTCGATCGATGCTGCAACTTGGGCGCGGCGGAGGCAGGCTGCAAACGAGGGGAGAGGCACGCACGCCTCTGGCAGCGGAAACCGCGTCTTGATAGGAACTGGGTCCCCGCCTCTGGGACAGAGCTATCTGCACATAACCACGGCACTAGAGAGGCTGGAAAAGGGGACAGGAATGCATTCAGCTAGCCAGGCAGCCAATGCTGTCAGCCACGCCTCAATCGAACTCG